ACCGCGGTGAGTCGACTACTGCCACTCCCCCGTCGACTCCGCCTGCGCCTCTTGCGGCGATGGAGTACAGGAGTCGACGGGAGAGCGCTTGGGGGTCGATGACACAATAAATCAATCCCCGCTGGATTGATCGCTGCCCGCTGATCTGGTGGGTAGTGTAGACATACCAGTGGAGACTCCTGTCCTGTGTTTATGTCCCTTCTTTGGCTTCAGTCCATTTGCTGGAAGTAAACACTTGTGTATTGCTTTAACCATCCATTCTGGTTTAAGGAAATCAACTACCTCCCCCACTTCTATATAAGTTTGTACATATTTATTCAATGAGCAAGTGTAGGTACTTGGACTATTTCACTTGATATCATCACAAGTTAACTAAAACTAAACTCCATTTTAATCTCTTCTCAGTAACTTACTACTATCAATCACAGAGAGCCAGTTGCATGACTCAAACACATGTCCGTCTCTTACAATTTCAGCTAAAACACCCTGGCATCAAACAATTGCACAATGAAAGTTATATCTAAATATATGCAAACAGAAATAAAGTTTTTAAAAAAACTTTGGTATTAGCTAATACAAATCAAATCCGCAAGGAGGTGCTGGACTTCCACATTACACCAAATCCAATTCAGGTGTCCACTGGCAGTATATATATTTTTGAAGTCACAATTTACACTTCCAGAACTCCCACATGATGATTTCGAATCACTTTCCAGTCCATCATGTAGGTCTTCCTAACTTATATAAAGATTGAACAGACAAACAATCAAGCACTATAAGTGGAATATTTAGGCTCCTCATTCTTTGCATGATTGTCTAGAGCAGTGGTTCTCAAAGCCAGTCCGCTGCTTGTTCAGGGAAAGCCCCTGGCGCGCCGGACCGGTTTGTTTACTTGCCGCGTCCACAGGTTCGGCTGATCACAGCTCCCACTGGCCACAGTTTGCCATTCCAGGAAAATGGGGGCTCCGGGAAGTGGCGTGGGCCAAGGACGTGCTGGCCACCCTTCCCACAGGCCCCATTGGCCTGAAACAGCGAACCGTGGCCAGTGGGAGCCGCGATCGGCCAAACCTGCAGACACGGCAGGTAAACAAACCAGTCTGGCACGCCAGGGACTTTCCCTGAACAAGCGACGGACCGGCTTTGAGAACCACTGGTCTAGAGGTTTGATGTGATTAAGGAGTCTTGCTCCTTAATTATACAGGGCCTGATTGTGGTATAGAGCCTTACTCACACTGATTAGTACCTCACTCCACTGAGTCATGGATTGGAACACCAATGACTGTATTTGGTACCATACTGAACGTCTGTGGTCTACCCAAGCTTGAGTACATGCAGTGCTGTAGACCACTCAGAAGAAGGGTGCTAGGAAAGGGTGCTTGACAAAGCCCTGGCTGGGATGATTTAGTTGGGGATTGGTCCGGCTTTGAGCAGGGGGGTTGGACTAGATGACCTCCTGAGGTCCCTTCCAACCCTGATATTCTATGATTCTATGAAAGACCTGTAGAGTTGCATATTCCCTGTGACTGGCATGGCATGCTGATCCACCCCATCCCCTGATGATTGAGAGTCATAAATTCAGCCCCCATATGATAGTTTTCTGGGCATTAGAGGGATAGAATCTCCAAATCAGTTCAAGATACCTCCAGCAACAATATGTTAATACCTAATGGCTTGTAGAAAAGGAGGGAAAGTACATGAAAGTTTTGCATGAAAGTGCACTTTCTTGATTTCCAGCTGACGCAAATTCTTCCTCCAGCTCAATGTGTAGGCAGAGTTTGTGCCTATCTTAGAATCTTCTTATGAGAAACCAATGATAAAATACTGTAATCCATCAAGCAAACAGGAAATCACACTTCTGAAACAAAAATTGCTTTGCAATTGCAAATCAACAAACCTTCCCTTGCTGAGAAAAGTTAAGTGACAAGTTAATGTGTGCGTCCTAGAAACACTGCAGTACCAGTTATTCCCAGTTCATGGAGAAGCAGTCTAGAATCCTTAATTCATTGGCATCCAGTGGGCTTAAAAAGGGAAAACATTTAAATAACTGAAACCACCACAGATAACCCTTTAAAACTCTTAACATCTCATTCTTCATAATGTGATATTTGCTATCTTTTCCCAGCGGAGACTTCGGACTTTATAAATAACACCTCTCCCCCGTTTGCTGTTTGTACTTGAGATTTCAGTCCTCTTATTGTGGGATCTTAATAAATTGGTTTCCACAGAATTAAACAACCAGGTTAACTGTGTGAAAGCCCTCTGGCCACAAAAGTGTAATGACTTAACCAGTGACTTACAAACTCAGGTGTGACTTATTACTAATTTACAAGGCTGTAACTATTTGCCTGATGTGAAGCATGGCAAAACAGTAAAGGAATCCAACAACTATGCAAGCAGTTATAGGAATGGAGTCTGGGGCCAGTGCAAGTTTCAAATTAGCTATGCTCTGGCAAACAGCTCCATTTTTTTCTCTCTTTATACATTCATTTTTTCCTTACTTCATTGAGAAGAAAATGCCTTTAAGGACCACTTTCCTGGCCCAGACTGTTTGCTGTTTATGATAGTATTCTGCACTTCTGGGTAGTAACTTTTGTCTGAGGATCTCAAAGATGAGTAAATGCAGAGATAGAGCTGTTAAGGTCCAAGTTTTCAAACATATTACCTAATCTGAGTTGCCTCAATTTTTGGATGTCCAAACTGAAACATGTAAGGCCTGATTCTCAGAGGTACTGAGCACTAATAACTTGATTGAAGTTTATGCAAACTGCCCTGAGTACTTCAAGGTGGACATCTGAAGACTTAGGCACTTAGGGCCAGATTCGCAAATGTATTTAGATGCTTAAAGATGGAGAGAGGTGGATCCAGGAGTTAGGCATCTAACCTGCATAGGCAATTCTGACAACCCCATTAGGTGCTAATCTGCATCTTTAGGCACCTCAGTACCTTTGAAAATCAGACCCTTAGTGGACACTTCAGAGAATGCTGGTCTCTGTGACTGGGCCAAAGCTACATGACAAGTTAGTGGCAAAGCTGAGAACCAAGCGTAGGCGTGCTAGCAGCTAGTCTTGTGCTCTAACCACAAGGTAACACTTCTTAGTGACACATTTAAGGGTGAATTTTTATAAACGAGTGATGCCCAGCTTCCCTGTCAGGAGGGACATTGACAATAATAGAACTATGCAAAATCCACTCTGGATTTCTAGGGTCCTAATAATCAGCAATGTGAACAACTTACTGATCTGTCTAGAATTTTCCCTCAATACTTGTGATGCATTCTGCACACAGGAGATTTTGGGTTTGAAAGGAACAGACATTTTTTCACTCTTCTCTCACAGACCTGCCCAGCTTCCCTGTTAATAATTCTGGGTACAGTAGCACAATATCCATTTTCTCTTCTTTGTTCCTTACTTTGCAAGTAGCCCTATTGAAGTATGATAACTAGAGGGTATTCAAAACATTCTGGACCAAATCCAGGTCCCCTGAACTCGATGAGAGTTTTGATATTAATCTAGGTGGAGCCAAGCTTTAGCCACAAGTGCAAATATTACTTCATTGCAGTGCAATGTATTTAGATTCTGTTTTCCATCAGCTTTCTAGATGATATGTGAGATTCTTGGAAAGATCTTGTTGGTTGGATGGGTTTTGTGTCCATTTAAACTGGCATAAAGTTTGGGCATGGAGGCAGAATTACCATTTACTTTTAAATATCTATCTTGTTTCAAGAGTTTGCTTAATTAAATGACATTAACAACCTAGCTTGTTATGTGAGGGATGGTGGGAGAGTGAGGAAACACACAGCTAATGGGGAGGAGAAGGAGGAATGAGTCCAGGTGGGGTTCAAACTTATTCTTTAAACTAGGGAGTTGAATTTTGTAACAGATGAATACATTAGGAGTAATTCAATGAGTCTGAGCTGAGTACCTCTTTCTAGATCCCAGAATGTATCTTTCATTCTGTTATTTACAAAACTAGTAAGTTCCCCTGTTTTTTTACCAGTGTAGCTTGCTGGGGCTTGGCTCCTTCCTTCTGATATATCTGAGTCTGTACCTTAGGAAGTTGATGTGCTCACATGTTCAAAGGATAGTTTTCCAAGACAGAGGGTATAACGTATTTCATATACTGAATGGTAGGATCAAGCACATAATATGTGGCTGCACCATCTTAGGGAGCCAAATAAAATATTTCTCTTCTATATATAGCCAACTGAAATCCAACTGCAAAGACATTTCTGAATCTCAAAATTAGATTATTCTTGAAAGAGCATTTTTATTCCTTTAATACTATGATGATTTTTTTTAATCTCTGCACTGTGTTTAAATAGGAGCCAAAGGCTTTCACAATGAATTTAAAAGAAATCTAAAGAGATCTGACAGATAAAAAGAAACTGACTATAAAGTATGGCCATTTTATGAGAAAAAAGTTTCACCTCCTTTGTGGTTGAAACAAAGATGTAACTTTCAGAATTTCTTTGCACATAACTTTCCTGTTCTTCATAGATAATGCAAAAATCTAATGCATTTACATGGCCATCATGTAATCTAAAAGAGGCTGAGATTAGATTTGGCATATTTGTATCATGTTTCATTTGGGCCACTAAGATGATAATTATATGGAATTACTGTAAAAGGCAGTGACTAGTCTTTGACCTGGCTTATAAGACACATGGAGCTCCTGTGCCTCAGAAATATCAGATCAAATTATTGGCACTTCTCATACAGTTTGAATCAAGGTCATTTAGCAGAATAATTTTTAATATTCATTTTTAGATAATATTATCAGTTAGGAAATGCAAAAAACCCCAGTAAAAGAGAGTGCTGGATCTGAGGCAACAAAAGGTCAGCGGTTAAGTTCTGCCTTGTGTATTGTGTATGCCGAAATGTCCGTTTAATAAACCAAGACACACTATGAAAGAGTAGCCGATAACTGTAACATTTGGCCTTATGAAATAGGCTGAAGGTTAAAATTTTTTTCTCAAAAATGGTTTTGCAAATCTTTTTCAGAGCTGATAGATACACACCTTAGCTGGATACAAAACATTATATGAAACAGAATGACTGTGATCTTTGATCCAAGCAATCAAAGTAAAAGGTAATTGATATTTTTCTGCCTTTTCTCCAGCTGTGTGTTTTCTTAACCTTATACTTATTTAAAAAAAAAAATTAAAAATCCTGCCACTTTTAATTTGGCTTAAAAGCTTTTAAATCTTTTTTTAAAATTCCTCTTGCTTCCATTTTATATACCTTGTAGATTTCCTGAAATATCTGGGGCTTGGTGGGCAGGGAAGAGGCATTGGATTGTGCATGCTCTGTGTATAAGAATATTGACATTTACATTTGGTGGCTACTCTGTGTCATTAGAACCCCCAGTTCGCCTGGGTGTATCAAACTGTGTTCCTAGCAAACATGTCACTCTACAACTGTGAGGAAAGATCGTCCTCCCCACTCCTCACTGTGGGTCTCTTTTATGCAGTCAGTTCCTTAAGGCATAGTCTGGACTTGTTTCACATGCAGAACCACTGGCAATGTCTACGAATAAGCAGGATTTCTTAACTGCAGCACAGAGAAGAGAGGGGAATTTATCCTGCAATGCAGATTAGTTTCATCTCCTTTAGTGAGAATTTTGGGCCAGATCCTGCAGACCTCACTGTCACAGGACTCCACCTGGGCAAGAGAGTCCTCTCACTTGCCCTGGTTTTATGGTGGCCTGGCTGTAGTGATGTGACTAAGAATTACTTCTGATTTATGCAGCCACAAGGACCTGACTCAATGCTCACCATGGCCAGTGAGAGTATTTTCTTTGATTTCAATGATCATTGGGTAGGGTCCTAAGTGAGAAGAGAATCAAGCTCACTTTAAGTGGCTACACATCCACTTAAATCAAGTCTGACTTTGGCCCACTGCTTAGAATGGAGCATTGCTTGATTGAGAACTCCATGACCCCTTTTTAAAAAAAATCTTTGCCTGGATATTTCATTTGCTGGCTCAAGCTTTTAAATTTATTTATCAAGAGGGGGTTTGATTTTTTAAAATGTATTTATTTATTAAAACTGTGACTTTATCATGTGCATGTAAACTTGGGATCTTGCATCGTCAGCCCATGACATTAGTAATAACAGTCCTTTTACTGTGAGGATGTTAACCAGCAAAAATACAATAGCAGTCCTTGTACTATTGCTGGTTAACATCCTCACAGTAAAAGTGCTAGCAAGAATCCTTTAAGGCTTCTACTGTTTTTAACTGGCAAGTCTCGAATGTATACATGGGTACTACAGTTCCCACTAACTTCCCTGCTGCAATGAGTTAGGCAGGGTGTTTTCTATCATTAACACCCCCCCCTTTTTTTTTAAGGGATTTATTACTCATCTGTTAAAAGTTGCTCTGAGCAAAAGCCTGGCACAGTAGAGTTTTGCAAGTCAGAGTTTTGACCCTGTTGTGTTTGTCTTGTAAAGAGCTACTTTACTACAAATTTACATGCAGCCTTTTTGCAATAATACAGATTTAAACTGAAAAGTCAAGGGGACATTCAATTCTGGACCCTTTTTCTAGTGGTGTAGCCATCTGTAATTTAAACCCCTCCACAATGACTCCAGTGGAGTTATGCCAGGTTACACCAGCTGAGGATCTACCTTGTGTAATGTGGACTTGACCTTTTGTAAAGCAACAAAAATAGACACCTGAACTGAGGGTTGAAAAGAATTCAGATCTCTCATATGGATTTTGACTCTTTGGGTTTTATCTGTCTAGGCTCATAAAGGCCACAGTAAAATAGCTCGTCACAAACATTAATGAATTTATCCTCACACACACCCCCCATTAGGCAGGTGAGCTGAGGCACAGAGAGTTTAAGTGACTTGCCCAAGGTCATGCAGGATGTCTGTGGTGAGCTGCCAGCAGCACCCAGGTCTTGTCTAGATTCCCCCAACTACAAGCCCTTCCTATGCATTATGGATCCATAATGTCAAAGTCAGAGTGGATGGAATCCACCCCCGGCACAGAGACCAAATAAACAAGCTTGTGCAGGGAGACGATGCAGCACATGAAGAGGCAGAATCCGTTCCTCAAGAAGGGCACCAGCCACCACTGTGACCGCAGCACAATCCCTTAACGTAGGTGTTTGTGACCACTGAATCGGTACTGTTGCTAGTATAGTCCCCAACACCTCTCCATGCTGACCTATGTGGGCTGGGCAGATGATTTGACATCCCTGTGTCTGCCAGTCCGCTCACTCCCCATACAGCAGAACTACCTGTTTCACTAGGCTGGTGAATGCAGGAGTGTTGAGAGGGGATAGGGGGAGTGGCTTGGTTGCTATTACACTGGGAGAATTTCACCCACTGTACACTAATACCTCCCATTGTTCAGGCAGATTATGCACAACATACCACACTTTGCTGCATCTTTACAGAGTCCAAGGATTGTATATCAGGGCTGCAACACATTCAGAGTTACAGTCTTTTCAATGGTTTATTGTGTTTTTTTATGTATATTACCTTAAAAATTAAAAATATGATTTAAAAAAAGTCAAAGGCCAAATTCTCAAAGGGCTTTTTTTTTTTTTTTTGCGTGTACAGTTTGTATTTATAGTGAATCATGCACTTGCAAATCAGACTTCTTGTGCCTGTAACAATCCAAGTTACATGCTCAAGCAGGTCACTGAAGACGCCAGCACTTCAATTCATGCCCATAATCCAAGTGAAGAGCAAAATTACCAGTGCAAATTGCACTCACAAAATGACAACCATCCTATTGAAAATGTGGCTCAGTATTTGTGCATGACACAGCCAACATTTGCATGTGCCAAATGGGAATCTAATAGAAAAGCGACTGTCTCACTTTGCTCAGGTGCTTATTTGCATGTGCAAATATGGGGGAGAAGGCATTGTTGCAGTCATGGTTTTGAAGGCCCTTGGAAAACTGGACAGTAAAGTACTAACTCTAACCCAAAGTAATGCAGACTGCAGTAATGCATGATGTTTGAGCCATACTGTTGCTTGTAGCTATTGCAGGGAACTCCAAGTATTATTTTCATGTATTCCATATTAAATGGAGTCACACACAAGGATAAGCTGCAGTAGGAATTCTAGCCTGAGAATGTCCCTGTTCTGTTCAGCTGACATCAGATATTATTTAAATGTTCATTCTTTATTATTTAACTTTCATAATGTTTGCTTATGTCCTCATAATGTGGCTTGTCCTGTTTTAGCAGCTCTTCTGGCTTCTCATTAAAACATGGGTTACAGTACACGACAAAGCAGGCACACAACAGGCACCTTAAGATGATAACATTTTATTTATTAGTCAGATCATTTCTGTTTACTCTCAGCCAAAGAGTAGCGTGATTGGGCTCAGAGGACTCCGACACTGGACTAGGCCAGCCATTTGTCTAGTCTACTTTGGACAGTCCTCTTTTGCTAAGGTTTGGCCCCTGTCTGGTATTGAGACAAAACCGGATGTGGTTGTGCAGACAGAGAAAACCATTTTGAATGGCATGCCGCCTTCACCCCACCAGCATGCACCATGCGTATGAGATCACGCCCGCAAGGGAGGGGGGAAGGTGGTCTTCAAAATGGCTTCCTCATGCAGTGTGATTTCACTTGCACAGTGCATGTGAAGTCATGTCAGCAGGGATAGGGTCACGCCATTCCTGGAAATACTGGAATGTTTTCTGGGTATGTGGAAGTGTCCACCCTATACTGGATATTTTAACTATGGGCATTTCTACACTACAGCTGTAAGTCAACCTAATATAGGTCGACTTACAGCCAGCACGATAACTACCCTTCTTCTGTCGGTGGTGCGCATCCTCACCCGGAGCACTTCCACTGACTGAAGAGTGGCAGGGTGGGAGGGACTGAGAGCCAGGGCTCTCAGCTCTGCGCAGCTCTCCACAGGAAGTCCAGCTATGCCCTCAGCTCTTGCCTCCCAGCTCCCAGGCGGAAGCGGAGGGCAGCTGCCTGAGCTTCTCAGCTCCCTGAGCAGGGAGTCTCCAGGCAGCAGCCCAGATGGGAGTGGGCAGCTGGAGGCTTCTGGGCTCTAACTGCCCAGCTTTCTTGACAAGACAGCCAACAGCTGATATAAGTAACACAGTGTCTACACCGACTACACCAACATAAGTGCTACACCTCTCCTGGGGGTGGAATTATGATGTCCGTGTAGTAGGGCACTTACATCGGTGGGACAAGGCTGTGGTGTGTACACTGACAGAATGAGGTCGATGTCAGCTGCCTTACGTCAACCTAATGGTGTAGTGTAGACCAGGCCTATGCTACCACAAAAAGAGAGACATTTAGAGATGAAACTCAGATCAGAATGCAAACTTCCTCCAAAGTTTGGGTGTGTCTGGATTTGTAGCTCCCATTCAGCCCACAATAGAAACTCAGGTCACTACAATCAGATCTGGATATGGATTCAGATTCTCCCAAAATACTAGGGAAGACAGGTTCAACATGAATGGTTTCATTCAGCCCAGTGTCGAGATAACCCTGAGCTGGGAAGATTGGCTCCAGTTGCTGTTATTTTATTTATTTGTCACGCAGTAGTGCTTAGGAGCCCCAGATTTAGACCAGTTGTGCAAGGTGCTGTACAAACAGGATTGCTTGTCCTTCTCTTAAAGCTGCAGTGTTGTGGCTCAGGCCCATTTATAGTAAGAAGACAGCAGCCTCTGGCTAGCTTAATTTACAGCCTTATTGATTCATGCTGACTTTCATTAGTAGTAAATATATACAAGGATGAGAGTTTGCTTTGCAGCCCTCAGGAACCAACAGCCTGACTTGTCATAGCACAGACAAACCTCTGCTCTTCCTTACACCCATGAAGCCCCACCGCAGTCCAAGAAACGGTAACCAGTCAGGTTACAAAACTGTCTGGTTCACTGTGTTGCTCTGCTGGTTTTATTGTTGTACAGTCACAGTTGTCCACCCTGTCACCTCAGCCAATAAAACCCTGCAATGCAAATGAATGCAGCATGCAGGGGAGAAAGTGAAGCTGACTGTCAAATAAACCCCATAACCACTAGATTTCAACTGCTTCACTACATTGTCCACACTGTTTTGCACCTACCAGCTATAGTCTCATCCATATTTGCGCTGGAGACCAGATAGTAGCTGTTCTCCTGTCGCTGTGCTGTTAGCTTGGCAGCCCTGTCCTGCAGATTTTGCTTTCCTTGAGTTTTATTTTTAGCTGTAGAAACAAATGAAAAAAAATTCAGCATCCCAGATGAATTTCCCCCAGTAAGTTTAAGAAGATTAGTTTAGGTCTATTTTCCAAATAGGGTAAGTCTTTTTCACCTTTTTGTTTTCAGCTAAAATATTAGCCGTCCCTAGACTGAAATGACCTCTTGTCATCAGGAAGAATGTGATGTTTCCATCTGAGGTGGCTGTATTAAATTGACAGGAAATGTACATACAATATGTTTTTGAGACACTGACTGAACAAACGTGTTGATAAATAATTCAGCCTGCCATTTCAGCCCACTCCTTTTTATAAAGGAAATGACCCCATAGAGTCGGTGCCCACTTCTTTCACCTCACTGCTATTTTTAGCAGTCAGAGGCTATGAAAAATTTCCATTGAAGATCTGCTCCTCTCATTTCCTGGGTAGAGAAAACAGGAAGTCCTTTAAGCTGAGCCGAAGTCGGTTTTGCATGAAACTAGAGCAATCTCACCTCCCACTGGCAGTCTGATTACACTGCAAAGCCTCAGAACCACATCAGATCTAATAACCTTCAGCTATACAGTCGTTTCAGTGAACTTGCACAAGCGGTTTTGGGCAGAAGCTGAGATAAGATATGGCAGGTGGAAGTTTAGGCACAAGGAGATGGTAAAAATCCCCTTCACTGTGTAATAGTTTTTTCTAGCATACCTCTGCTTTTCAGTTGGCGCCTCCACCAATCGAAGCGAGGTCAAGCACATGAAAGCATATCCTGACTGGAAGTAGGAAGACTTGCTAAATTCTGAGGCGTACTACCAGTGGGCTTTCTGTGCATGGAGAAGCCCTGAATGCATTGAACTTAATATTGTTCTGCTGTATCCGTGTGGGGGGAGAATTTAGGGAGTCCAAATTCCATCAGCAGAATAAAGCAGAGATCACTGCACCCACAGTTTTTTTTCAAAAGGGTAAAACACCAACTGGATTGTTACCCTGGCACTGCCTCTTTGAAGCAGCCCTCGCCCTTACCAGGTTCATTTTCTATGGAATCTTAACATGTGGCACTGGATTTTTATTCTATTGTTAGGTTCATTCTCTGATTAATTAAAAAGGGATCAGTGTAGTTCTATCTTTTTCTAACCCTGCTTCAGAAAAGCATCTCCTTATTCAGATAGGGTGCTGAAGCATGAGCATAAGTTCTTTCCTAAATTGGTGTCTCTCTCTCTCTCGCTCTTTCGCTCTCTGTACAGTGGCTTGGGGCAGAGGATACATACTGTTTTAAGAGAATTAGTTCTAACAAAAAAATCAAATGGCAGTTCTAAGTCCCCATGCAAGAAAGTGTGCCTGTGATTGCAAGAGCAATTAGAGATGGGATCTGGACATGGATCCAAATCAGAATTTTTGCCAAAGATTTGGGCCAAGAAGAGAGTTTGGATCTGGTGTTCTGGACTAATCCATCTGTAATGCATCCCCAGTAATTGCATGCAAAAATTAGTAGCGTACTATTGTGAGCATATAATCAATTTGCACAAGCAGTTGAAGTAATTTTGAGCATAGATCTGGGCTTCTAAAATTGAATATTTGGTTATTATGATTTTAACAAGAATTTACCAAGATAGATTGAGAGACCCATATCTTCATAATTATGCACCTTATTTGCAAATGCAATTGCCATGATTCTGACAGGTTAAACTGAACCCACAAATAGCAAATTCTGGCAAAAATATGCACACATAATTGCTGTGCCAGATACAAATGAGATAGCTTCCCATTATCTCCATTTTAGCAGTGGAGATATGTCTGTAGGTTTTGCATCAGTTGTTCTGGCAGGGGCTGATGCCGCTTTCAGTTGGTATGTCCTGGTGTGTGGGGAGTTTTCTTCTTCTGATGGGCTTGGAGGGGTTGAGGGGTTGTCTGAAGGCCAGAAGAGGGGATTCAGGAAAACCTTCCCCCTCTCAACACACCTTTCAAATCCGTGGATCCTACACATGCCTATCATTACATGTGGTGTACCTCATCCAGTGCATTAAATGTCCCAATAACAACTATGTGGGAGTACGCTTCCCAGACCTGAAGAAAAGCTCTGTGTAAGTGCAAAAGTGTATCTCTTTCACCAGCAGAAGTTGGTCCGATAAAAGATATTACCTAATATCCTGGGACCGATACAGCTACAATACTACAGTAGAACCTCAGGGTTATGAACACCAGAGTTATGAACTGACTGGTCAACCACGCACCTCATTTGGAACCGGAAAAAAAGCGGTAGAGACCAAAAAAAAAAGAAAAGTCAAATACAGTTCTGTGTTAAACATAAACTACTAAAAAAAGGTGTGTGGGGGGGATTTTTCTTCTGCATAGTAAAGTTTCAAAGCTGTATTAAGTCAATGTTCAGTTGTAAACTTTTGACAGAACAACCATAACATTTTGTTCAGAGTTACAAACATTTCAGAGTTATGAACCTCCATTCCCGAGATGTTCATAACTCTGAGGTTCTACTGTATATGGTAACACATAATGATGTTGGTTTGGGTTTTTGCATAGAAAAGCAAGGATGGGAGTACACTAATGCATTCTGTTGGTCTTTATTATTAATCACCAGCACACAATGTCAGGAGGTTAGAATAATAATTGTATAAAGAGACATGGAAGTTTTATTTCTGTGCTGTAAAGAAAAATACACTATGCGACAAATATGTTTAAGGCCAGATTTTCAGAAAAATACTTTTGCACATGACTTACATGCACAGAATTTTCCATCCAAGCACACAAGTTTGGCATGTGTAAAACTGCACTTCCCAAAATCTGGTGCTTCACTTTTCTAATTTTTCTTACTTCATCTTGGTAAGAATGTCAATATCCATTGACTCTTTGGGACTTTTTGTCTATGAAGCAGGAAAATAATTATTTTATGCAAGGGACATCAGATGCATGATCACAGGACACAAAAGGTCATTCTGATTGTATAGTGCTTGAAATGTGCTGAACCCGATATAGAAAAACAGCAATACATGGGTGTTGTCCCAAAATGTTTACCATCTAAAGGCCCAATCCTGTGACCACTTCAACGAGGCATATTCTGGAATAGTAAATAGTATGCTAATATCTAGAACTACACCCATAAGTAAGTGTTTACAGGATCAAGCCCTACTTTAGACATGACACAACAAATGGGGTTAAACAGTATGGACAGGATTGAGTGACAAAGTGTAAATCAAATAAAAGCATGTGGTTACTCAGTTTAGGCATGTGCATATTTTGGTGATCCAGTTGGGAACTGAGTTATGTGAGTGTTTGGGTTTTTTGTTAAGAATAGATGTGTTATCATTATAAAATGTCAAGAGGATGTTTGAGACTTAATAGCAAAACCTGCTCGTATTGCTTTGGATTCCCATCACTTTCAGAACATGCTAAATCTCTTTCCGCTTTTTCATTTCACAGTTAATGAAATTATCAGGAAGGAGTTTTCTGGACTCCCTGCCAGAAATCAGACATAGAAGAAGAGATTTGTGAGACAACTTTTACTGAATCCTTCCATAACTGACCTGTTTAGATCCTTCCACTGCCCCTTCAACCTCCTGCTTCCTTAATCGTTCATCTCAAGGCACCAATTCAATGCAAGGAACAATGTATTGGCATCAAGCTGACAGCCTTGACTAAGCAGCTCGCCACCTCTCTCTGTAAACATCAAAAGGACACCCTTCCTTTAGTCCAAAGATTGTATTGTTCTCATATAACACGGTATGTGTCTTGCCTGCTGCAAAAACATATAGATATCATAATAAGGGAGAAGAAAGGCGTCATTCCAGAGCTCTGTTCTACAACAAATGTGGTTATATATTAGCACTTAATTCAGTGGGGATGAGAAATAAGGGTAGAGGGAGTGCCTGCGTTTTATATAAGATCAACAACACTTTGCATTTAAATAGCAACACCTTTCCATCCAGATCTCAAAGCCCTTTACAAACACAGGTTACACATTATTATTCCCAATGTTACCAATGGGGGTAACTGAGGCACCCAGCAGTTAAGTGACTTGCACAAGTCAGGCCACATCTACACCATGGGTTCTACATTGATGGAAGGTGTTTTTCCATCGCTGTAGGTAATCCACCTCTCCCAGGGGCAGCAACTAGGTCAGTGGACAAATTCTTCCATCAACTTAGCTGCATCTATCCCGGGGTTTAGGTCAGCAAAGCTATGGTACTCAAGAGTGTGGCCATGTCAACCTAATATTTTAGAGTAGACCAAGTCTCAGTCTTATCTGAGAACAGAACCCAGCTTTCCTGACTCTTACTCCTGTGCTCGGCACACCAAACTGTAGTTGCCACATGAATCCAAGACTTTCTTTGTTGTTTTTAATAAGAGCTGATGTGCTTTTGAAGGCGAGAGATGCTTAAAGAAAATTAAATTAAAAGAGCAATTACAAATTTCTAACGAACAGCCCAAGTTAAAATAACCCCTGATAAAATGAAGCGGATGCATCTATTGGAGTTACAAAATTCAAGCAGAATTATGCCTGTCAAAAGACTTTGTGATTGACCCAAATTAGTGGTTAGCCAATACATTGACAGCTTTTAATTTTTTTATTCTAGTAAAGTACTGCTGTTTATTTTCATGTAAAATCTGCCTTCAATTCGTAACTGCTCTCATTTAGAAGCCACAACATTTAACCATGCAAGCTGCAGGGGAAAGTAATTACATCTAAAAGAAGCCACACATTTATTTGTCCTTTTTTCTTTTGCTTTGAAAAGCCAGCAGCAATTTACAGAAAGGCTGAACCTCCTTGTTAGTCTAATAAGTTAGCTATGTATGACTTCTTGCGCTAACACATAGTTTGAATATACTGTGCTCAAGACAGTTAATCACAGTAAGAAACAGAATATGGATAATATTTGCCATTTGCAGTTGCACAGCTAGTAAGCTTGTCAAGTTTCACGCTTTCCATTTTTAGTGTGTTATTGCTTCCGTGACAAGATAAAAAGATATCATACCTGGATAATATAAATACATTAAGGGCTAACCATAATATTGCTGCAAATATGTAATAATCTTTTGTTAAATTAATGAAATCAATATCCTTAAGAGTGCTTGTAGGAAATCTGCAGTGCTAAAGATTGCTTTAGAAGGCACACTAGCTAAAGTCTCAAGGGTTTCAAAGCACAGATTGCCAGTACCCATGTGTCTACATGGTGACAGCATGAATTAGGTTGTATGAAAATATTAGATCAGCAGAACTTTTGTAGAATGTTTGCCCAATACTGCAAGAAAGATAAGTGCATAGACCCCCATAGAATCAATACTGGGTTTGGCACAGCTATTCTTCTTGAGTTTTGTGAAAATATATATTTTCTGCCACTAAATTCTACCACTTAAGCTATGCAACATCTTATATCCTGGAGAGAGTTAGTGGATAGCATTTCACTAACTCTTTCCAGGATATAAGCCTTTGCATAGCTTCAGAATGCCTGATTAAGAAATTGACCTGAACCAAAATCTTGGATCTTAAACAACCTGGGATCTTTGGAGTATCTGAAATCAGAATTTTGCAAACGGGAAAAACCAAAAGCCTGGATTCAAACCTTCTTAGGTCATTTAAAAGTCTGGGTTTATAGCCTGAACAGAATTTTGTGGCTTGCTTGAGCCCCTTTCTATTCTTAATCGAAAAGTTGATTAGATATGTGGCCTGCTCATGAAGTTTGCGTCTTTTTTTTTCAGGTGGGTCAAACATATACTGCTCATGTATACAGTGCTAGTGTAACACACAGACCAAGCAGGAGCATTTCTTCCAGTTGGAAGGTATTCTGCTTTGTACGATTAGAATCTTTTTGAGAAGGTCATTTTCCCATATGCCATTTCAGCAATACAAAAGGTGACTGTCACTCAATACTGCCAGCAGTGGATATTTCAGTCTGCCATTCATATAGCCAGCTACACATGCTCCATCCGTAAATAATACAACAAAAGTATCAAGTCCTGGTCCTGTACCCACTGAAGTCAATAGACATTTTGCCATTGGCTTCCATGGGAGCAAGCCTGGGGCTTTGAATATGATGAATTAAAAATTACCTAGATGTAGTGGAATTATTGATATTATTCAACAACTCTAGGTGCTCTGTTTTAATATGTTTAATTTCCTCAAAACTTGCTTTAATAATGCAGTGTACCATGAGCTATTCAAGATCTTTGGTTCTTTCTAAGGCAGATACAGTTCCAGGCAAAACATCCCATTGTTTCGAATTGTCTTGGTTCTCAAGGAGCAAAGTCATCTTGCACAAGTTGTTTATTTCAGCTGACTTTACTTGAGCAAGAGTGTAGTCCAAAGGAGTTTTCCAGTTTTACACAATTTGCGCACAGAAGTAATTTAAAGCTACCACAAAAATTACTTGGCAGATTTTTTTCCCATATGGACTCTCTTCTTGTTGGATTTTAACAAGCAGCACAAAGAAATATGTGAACTAATTATTTTGTTTACATAATAAATTGGCTAGATGGCATGTTCTAAAAAACACTGCCACTCATTAGGTGATAGTTTAAAAATAAATCCCCAAGAAGGGACAGGTTTTCAAAAGCATTATGCACACAAATAAATGCATGCCTGACTTGGACAAGTATATAGGGTAATTGCACACACAAATCCACTAGAAACCTTGGTCATCTCAACATGCAATTACTCAGATGAAATGTGAAATCATGGTACAGGTGTTCCCATTAAGAGTGCCTAGCTGTTCTGGCACGCCCCTAAATTATCAGTTGAGCACCCTGCATCATTTCCCCATTTTACATAATTAGGCTTTTCTTACCATGATACATTAATGTATAAACCACACAGGAACTAAGGCTTTGATCCTTACAATGTGACACCCCCGTGGAATTCCACAGAAGTCACATTGCAGGATCTGCCTGTTAAACATGCTCTCTCTCCTATTTTGGTGGAAGACTTGTTTTGTTTTTCTTTTTAAATCCATTGATCTTACATTTTCCTTCAAGAGCTAGGCTGGGTAGGGTGGGATAGTAATTTTTATGTGTTTCAAGGGTTCTATTGCTGCTTGCATTAAGCTGTATGCTTTTCTTCCTAAAGTTTAACACATAGCTAATTAGATGTATTTGTGTATGTGCATATACACACATATGTTATATACTTGGGTTGCAATCCTGCAACTGGCACCAAAGGGACAGATCACTGCACCCGCATGATGTCAGCTAAAGGATCAAGGCTCTTCATACATGTATATAATATAGACTACATTTTAGTGGTTTTATTTACAGCTACATGTAGTCTGCTTATACTACTGTATCTGCTTTTCATCATTTTACATGCAAAACATTCGATAAATAATATAGTCTTAACTAACATCATATTTATTTCTGGAGAGAGGAAGGAGGATCCTAAGATACAGAGTTATGCAGTTTTATCTCTCAAAAATGTTATAGCTATGCTGAATAGCTTCAAAATATATAGTACTAAATTATTTCTTTTTTTTTTTTTTTTTTTTTTGCTGAGCAGTGTTTTTCCAGTATTAATATTGTTACATAAATAAAAATTGCTCTCTTGCTCTCTCTGTAGAAACATTAGGTTCACCTTGGAAGAGTTAATAGCATTTGTGAGTAATTTGTTCTCACTTTATCTGGAAAATAGCCATATTTGCACATGAGGAAATTCTGTCTTTCCTCAGTTATCTGAATGTTTCACCACAGTGCCTTCCTGCTATTGTACCAAAGGCCCTCCAAATATACTGTCCTCAGGGTGAACAACTCTAATGCGTTTTCCATCAATGTTATACCATGCTAAGTACATGGGGCTCATTGTAACCCAAAGTTCGTCTAGCTGTCTTTTCCCCCACACATACTTTTCCATCCTAGCTTTGGCTGCGAATTACAGGATGCACTTCTATAAACTGTTGCATCAATTATATAAATACATAAAATAAAATAATCATTCTTGATACATAAACAATCTGAGAGCGTAATGGGAGTTGACAGCTATAAGGAAGATTTTATGTCAGCTACAAATGTTGTAAGTAAAGTTTGCCAGGGGAGTATTTGCTTGTGAAGAGATTTGCAATGAAATATGCAGCCCAGTTTTGTTTTTCTCCATGAGAATGAGCAAAATGTAAGATCTGAACAGCAGCAGTGGATTGAAAGTGTCTATTGTATGTGTTTTTATTGGTAGAAAGAATGTAGAAGAGCCATGTTTTTTGCACTTGCTTTATTTGTATCCATGTAAATATGTATTACTTCATTCTTCTTGTAGGAATACACCATTTTCTGAATGTAGTATATTTCCAAAGACAGCACTATGTTATTCTCTATTGTATAAAAATGCTGCTGCTTGATAATATATCTAAAACAGTTCTCAAAATTAGCTAGCATGTTTTTTAATATATTTTGTAATCCATATCTTAAAAAATAAAAGTGTCTATGCTTTTTATCTGCCCCAAATATGCAGCATCTTTTGCATTAGAAATGGTATTTATAAAAGATTGTTTTGCATTTTTTCCAAGTGGATTAATTTCTCTATGCATTTGTTACTGAACTTTTCCCCTATAAGATAAATGATTTCAAGTTGGTATTTGATAAGTGTTCCAAAGACTCCAAATGTGTTTTTGAACACAGTATTTTTCTAAATACTTCAGTGTGACTTGTTTTCCCATGAATCAGTTTCCAAATTGCTACTTGTCACAGAACAATTGTTTCTTACATGGATTCAAGAAAATGTCTGCCTAAATTTAAGATATAAAACTAGGTCACACACCACTAGGTTTGACCCATTTTAAATTATGTGATGGCTCAATTTAGTATCTACATTGAATGTTTGTTATTTATACTGTTTGTGCTTATGGAATTGGGAGAGGTGCCCACATTGGATTTAGAAAAAGTGAACCACAGATTCCCCAAAACTCAGTTACTTATTATTTCCTATGGAATTTGTGGTGTGTTTTTTGTACTGTCCATGATTTCACACATGCAATTCTAAAGCATTTAGTTTGATATGAAAAGGGATAGATACCAATGTACCAATTAGCTCTTAATACAATATGAACTATCCACTCCTTTGAACATTTCACATCAAGTTAGCAAACCTTTCTCTTACACCTGTGCTACTGTGTAATCCCAGTGAATGACAGTTGCTAACAATTTGCTTAACCAGCATCAATCACCTGACTATAGTCTATGTAAGATTTGTAAAAGCGGCAGAGTCCTGTGGCACCTTATAGACTAACAGACGTATTGGAGCATAAGTTTTCGTGGGTGAATACCCACTTCGTCAGATGCATGTAGTGGAAAGTTCTAGAGACAGGTATAAATATGCAAGCAAGAATCAGGCTAGGGATAACGAGGTTAGTTCAATCAGGGAGGATGAAGCCCTCTTCTAGCAGTTGACGTGTGAACACCAAGGGAGGAGAAACTGCTTTTGTCGTTGGCGAGCCAGTCACAGTCTTTGTTTAATCCTGAGCTGATGGTGTCAAATTTGCAAATGAACTGAAGCTCAGCAGTTTCTTCGAAGTTTCTTCATATTTCTACCTACCTCTGAAAATTTCCACTACATGCATCTGGCGAAGTGGGTATTCAACCATGAAAGCTTAGGCTCCAATCCGTCTGTTAGTCTATAAGGTGCCGCAGGACTCTTTGCCGCTTTTACAGATCCAGACTAACACGGCTACCCCTCTGATATGTAAGATTTGTTTATCTATTTTTTAATTGTTCCTGGTGTATAATCCAAAGAAATAAACTGGTACCTGACTAATGTTGCAATAAAGTTTCAAATGCAGGTGCTGGTAGCTGTATATGATCATATAGGCTGCCAACGAAAGGCAATCAGGGGAAAAGTTTATATTATGAGTTTCCTTCACTAACTCCCCTGAAACTGCTACAGAAAAGCTGGAAGATTCCAGCAATAATGACCTATGCAGATGCTACATGGATATATTGAGTTTCCAAACAATCCATATATCTGTTGTAGAGTAGATGGGTTATTTTCAAATAGTACTAAGGACTAGACTGCAATGCTCATACTCATGCTGAGCAGTACCTTATTACATGAGCAGTCCAATGGATGTCGGAAGGTTGGAGACTATGGGTGTAGTCAGGTGCTATTCAGTGTCAGTAAGGGTGGCATAATTGGGCAATAAGTAAGTAAATCAATTTTAAAAGTAACTATGTTCAGCTAACACTCTGCATTAAATGCGGATACTCACCTGAAGTGAAAAATGACTTACAGACATTTACTACTAAATTGCTTGCGCAAAAGTCTATGTTTAAAAAGTGAAGAGGGATTTATATCACACACATTCCTATGCAAAACATTGTTAACCTCCAATTCAATGATTTTTCCTATCTGTAAAATATTTTTATATAGCTTGTACTATGATAGTTAAGCAATAAATCAAAGGACAACATTGCAGCATGTGTGTTTCTGTGTTCCTAAATACCTATATCACCTTATTTACAGTAATTAGGCTTGATCTTGTAACCTTCACTTTCCCGAATAATGCCAATGAGACTGCTTTGGTGGAACTCTTCAGGCACGCTAGTATGAGTAAAGATTTCCGAACTGGCACCATTGTTTGCAAACTAGAGACTCAGTGTCCCTCTGAATCAAGGTCTTCTCCGGCTTCTGTAGATCAGATTGAATTACATAGTGAAAAGAAATAATAAAGTCCATCCTTAGCTCTGAACAGTCATTTTCTGTTTTCCTAGTAAGAGAACCAAACAGGCCAAATTAACAGATGCTCTGTAGAGTGTTACAAAATGATACAAATTTAAGTTCCATTTAAGCAAAGTATGCATATACACAGTTTACAGTTATTGGGGATGTGATCCGTTGAATTTGTGTTCATCTAAATCCCAACTGTGCAATTTTTTTCTGGACACACTAAAAGGTACATTTTCAGACTGCTGTGCTGGAAAGGTACCCAGAAAACCCATTATTTCTTGGTAACAGTTAAGTTTATGTAGCATACGATTAAAGACATTTACCTTAACAAAATCAATATTATCCTTTGCATTTAAAAACACAAAATTCAAACCGTATTTGATGCATTTGTTGGACATGGAAGCAAATGCTTCGCTTATTCGGGGTAAGAACCATGTGGAAGTTCTTAACTCCCATTACACTGCACAAAGGCTGGGAAGCCCATAAACCAGACAAGCTTAGCCAACAAAGAAGCTGTTACTGGCTAGGGGGAACATTTTATGACGAGCAAATACATGGCACACAGAATTTTAGCTGTATTCAGCAACAGGAAAATGCAAGTAACTTAACCTCGAAATTCCACAAGTAAGGCTGAAAACTTTAGCACCTGAGCTGATGCTCTGGCTTTAATTAATTTCTTGGGCCCAAAACAGAATCCTACAATGGTACCCCAAATTTTCATTCTCAACTGTGAATGTCCTGGATTTTATCTAGTATGGTAACTTGCCAGTTCTCATGCTTCACTGTGTAAATAAGTGATCTACAAGATTTTGACAACAAATTTAATTTACTGCATTTAAGAAGCCCCTTTTCAGCCTGATACCACGCTCTTTTTATAAATACATCATGATGAATGTCTTGTTCTGTAATAAATGCCCTTTCAGCACCATTGCATTCACTGTACTAAGTTTAAACTGTTTGCCATTAAGGCCCCAAACTAGTAAATGTGCCCCAAACTACATCTTAAATCCTATTAGTTATCATGGTCCCCACTCATCATGATGACAGCTTAGATAGCAGGAAGATGGGAGCAAGAGAGGCTATCTTCTAGGTCCCAATGCATGGATGAGAAGAGAATGGCATTATATTTATTAGCAACCAAGGAACTTTTTAAGGAATGGAAAGCCTATGGGTTCCACCATAACCAAAGCTTAAGACTGCTGGCACAGAAAATTGCTGGTCGGGGGGCAGCTTGGAAGCCCAGGGAAAAGGTAGCAGGTGCTGAGCTACACTCAACTTGCACAGACATATTTGTTAGGGTGACAGCACTACAAAAAGCAACTCCTTATCCAGCAAAGGGTAGGACAGAAATTACAGCTGAAAAGGAGCTGGAGATCATAAAGATAAAATTGTCAGGCAAAGGAGTGAAGGCACATGGCATAAAATAAAAACTATTAGGGCCAGAGCCTCAGCTGGCATATCTCCATTAACATCACTGGAGACACAGTGATTTACACCAACTGAGGGTCTGGTCCCATAAGAAGTCAAAAGAGTAAAATAAGTGACCTGGAATCATAGAATATCATGGTTAGAAGGGACCCCAGAAGGTCATCTAGTCCAACCCCCTGCTCAAAGCCAGACCAATCCCCAACTAAATCATCCCAGCCAGGGCTCTGTCAAAAAACCTAAAAAACCTCTAAGGATGGAGATTCCACCACCTGCCTAGGTAACCCATTCCAGTGCTTCACCACCCTCCTAGTGAAAAAGCTTTTCCTAATATCCAACCTAAACCTCCCCCAATGCAACTTGAGACCATTACTCCTTGTTCTGTCATCTGCTGCCACTGAGAACAGTCTAGATCCATCCCCTTTGGAACCACTTTTCAGGTAGTTGAAAGCAGCTATCAAACCCCCCTCCTCATTCTTCTCTTCTGCAGACTAAATAATCCCAGTTCCCTCAGCCTCTCCTCATAAGTCATGTGTTCCAGACCCCTAATAATTTTTGTTGCCCTCTGCTGGACTCTTTCCAATTTTTCCACATCCTTGTAGTGTGGGGCCCATAACTGGACATAGTACTCCAGATGAGGCCTCACCAATGCTGAATAGAAGGGAATGATCACATCCCTCAATCTGCTGGCAATGCTCCTACTTATACAGCCCAAAATGCCGTTAGCCTTCTTGGCAACAAGGGCACACTGTTGACTCATATCCAGCTTCTCGTCCACTGTAACCCCTAGGTCCTTTTCTGCAGAACTGCTGCCTAGCCACTCGGTCCCTAGTCTGTAGCAGTGCATGGGATTCTTCCATCCTAAGTGCAGGACTCTGTACTTGTCCTTGTTGAACCTCATCACATTTCTTTTGGCCCAATCTTCTAATTTGTCTAAGTCCCTCTGTATCCTATCCCTACCCTCCAGCATATCTACCACTCCTCCCAGTTTAGTGTCACCTGCAAACTTGCTGAGGGTAATATCTGGTAGTGGCAGAAGATCTTTAATAATAGGCTTTACTGAAACATGGTGGAATGACAAATGTTGATGTTTACCAAGATATAAAGGAACAACTAGTTGGGGAAGTAATCCTGAACCTACAAGGATCCATAGAGCCTAAAGAGATACAGTTGGTGAGTACAGAGGACCAGGCAGTAGAATCTATATGGATACAAAGCTCAAGTCATAAAAATACAAATCTACCACTTGCCTCCTGATAAGGGGAAGGATACTGAGAGCATAATGTTGACAGTGACCAAAGAGGCAATTAAATCTAATAAGGAAATACTAGTTAGTGACTTCAGCTGTCCACCAGTTTCTGGTCAAAGAACGATTTAAAGAGGCAATTTTTTTATGCCTTATATGATGCCTTCTGGAAACAGCTGGTTCTAGAGAATACAAGAGTATAAAGGCTGCTCTGGATTTTGGGCCAAAATACGCATGCATAGGGCCCTACCAAATTCACAGTCCATTTTGGTCAATTTCACAGTCCTAGGATCTTAAAAATTGTAAGTTTCATTATTTCAGCTATTTAAATCTGAAATTTCATGCTATTGTAACTGTACGGGTCCTGTCCCAAAAAGGAGTGGGGGGAGGTTGCAAGGTTATTGGGGGGGAGTTTGCAGTACTGCTACCCTTACTTCTGCCATGCTGCTGGCAGAGGCGCTGCCTCAAGAGCTGAGTAGCTGGAGAGCGGCGGCTACGGGCCCGGAGCCCAGCTCTGAAGGCAGAGCCGCCATTAGCAGCAGCGCAGAAGTAAGGATGGCACGGTACGGTATCGCCTCCCTTACTTCTGCGCTGCTGCTTCTAGAGCTGGGCCCTCAGTCAGCAGCCGCCACTCTCTGGTTGCCCAGCTCTGAAGCAGCAGCACAGAAGTAAGGGTGCCATGGAATGGTATCGCCACCCTTACTTCTGCACTGCTGCTGGCAGGGCGCTGCCTTCAGAGCCAGATGCCTGGCCAACAGCCTCTGCTCTCCGGCCATCCAGCTCTGAAGGCAGCTCAGAAGTAAGGGTGGCAATACCACGACCCCCCCTAAAATAACCTTGTGAGCCCCCTGCAACTTCCTTTTGGGTCAGGACCCCCAATTTGAGAAATGCTGGTCTCCCCCCACCAATGAAATCTGTATAGTATAGGGTAAAAGCTCACAAAAGACCAGAGTTCACAGGGGGAGACCAGTTATCATGGTCTGTGATGCATTTTTCATGGCCGTGAATTTGATAGGACCCTACGCATGAGAGAGTTGATTCAAGAAGCAATAGTGACCAAAAGTATAGTTACAGTCATTGTAATAGAATCATCATAATCAGGAGAGATACCATACCAAAAACCTAGTATTCACACACTAAGCATTAGGAAGGGGATGTTTACCAAATAAAAAGGAAAGGAATCTAGTCAAAGAGACCACAATGTGTAAGTAAGGAAATTAAAATACATACAATTAGAGTTGAGGCTATACCACAACAGTGTCACAGAAGACATGCATATTCTTAAATAAAAAAGGAAGCAAGAAGACCAGAGGAAGTGCTCAAAGTGTCCAAGGTGTATGAACAGACTGACATATTAAAGCACACTACCTTATCAGTTCCGGGTAGCGTACATGCAAGGATTCTAAAGGAATGTAAGAATCAGCTGACTGACACCATGTCTACATGAGAAAGTTGAACTGGTTTAACTAAAGGTGTGAGTTTAAACTGATTTAGTTAAACCACTCTTATTTCAATATAAACCAGGCTTGTTTCAGTTTAGCTTAAGTCAATTAGGAATCAGCTTAAGGTTAGCTGAAATAAACTGCTCATAAACTGAAATAAGAATGTCCGCACAGGGGAGGTTGCACTGGTTTAACTAAATGGATTTTAAAATCAATTTAACGGCTGTAAACTTTCTTGTGTAGACAAGGCCTGAGTTACTATCAAAAATATGCAGTCTCCCCAATACTCCAGAGGATGGGAGCAAATGTGTTACCTATCTTTGGGAAAGACAATAGTAGTGAAGCTGGGAATTACAGCCCCATGAACCTCACTTTGGTACCAGGCAAATTTACTGAAATGCTCATTAAAAGCAGGTTTATAAAACAACTAAAACAGAGGGAATGACAGCTTCTTCAAGTATCCTTCCTGGCAAGGCTGTTATTAGGTTCATCTGAGCGTAGGGGCAAAGTTACCCAGCAACCCCCAGCTGCTGTGTAGTGAATTAATATAATACTGCCAAAGAGATTGTATTTTGGCTGATTGCAGCAATGGGTCTTGGTTCCATCTGTTCTCTTCC